GGGGCCAACAAAAGTCTGGGATGAAGGGTTTAATTCATGTACATAAATGCCGCGAAATTGCAATGACGGTAAATGAACGGAAATGGGGTGGGATAGGTAGCCTGCCTCGATTCATTTGCTATGAGAGGAACCTGGTCGTGAACAACATGCCGCAAGTAAAAATTACGCCAAACCCTTATAAACACCGGCAATATCTGGTGCCAAGGCCACATATCACACGAAATGGTCTTCAAGATGGCCACTCTCCTAAACCTTCCCATGTCGAGAATCAAAGTTTTCGAGATTGCTACAGTTTCGTTACCCGGCACATGCAGACGATCATATTTAAACGCAACAACGACATGAAGCTGATTACATCTGACGATGAACAATGAAATCGACGAGCATGTTTTTCTTACCAGCAGTTGGAAACGGGTTGAGAACCCGTGGCGGGGTCGACATTTCGAAATGCGATGCCATTGGGTGTTCTCTTGTTCTTATGGAAACGTATGAAGCAAGACGTAGAAGGTAGGATTTGACCGACGTGCAATTGCATAAAATCCGCATTGTGTGGTCAAGGCTCTGACATTGCAGCATTCACGGTGGTTGAGAGTCACATACTATTCACCGATGCATTCAAACACATCATTGCCTTTGAATTCTCAATTCACAGACATACACCATAATTGTTAGTTAGCACTCCTACAGGCAGTACGAAAAACAATTTAAATAGACGAAAAGTTTTGTGTGACGTCAATGTCACAGTGAATGACAATTGCGGGAATGTGGAACTTCCATGGGCAGCTTTTGTGGTCGACGGGGTCGATGTCCACAGCCTCATGAAGTACCTGCCACAGTGGCGATAATTCGAATGCCGCCGTGCGGACTACCCATGGCAACGAGGGGATGTGTCAGACCCCGTGTCGAGCCTCGTGGCATCAGATGTCCGGAGCCCACCGGAATGTGACGCTAGACATTTTGGAGGCTGGCTCGAACGGAACAATTATGGCACCTGGAAACAAGCGGATATCGAATGTCGGAGCGGGCGCAAGCCCGACGTTTGTTGATGACACACCCCCGACCACAATTTTTTCCCTCACACACCCCAGACGCAGACTTTGGAGATTAAACAATTTTTGACGCACGGCGTGTCTTACTATGAAACACCCGCGGACGCGTCCGCGGGTCCGATCTCGGATGGGGGACGCAGATGGGGCCGCGTTCGCATCCGACCTGGTCTGCACCGCAGACCGGATTTTACCAGAATTTTCCTGAATTAAATAATAGGTTAAAAATATATATATATATGTATCAGGGACCATATATCTCATGATAAAAAATGATAAGAAACAAATCCAGTTTTTCTTTATATATATATTTTTTAATTTTTTTTAAATCGAATTTAGTTTTTGATTTTTAAAAAATCCTAAACAAAGTCGGATTCCAAAAAACAAAATACGGGGTTGTAGGGCTTAAAATTCCCTACAACCCCATATATATATATATTCAGTGTCAATATCAAAGTGCAGCAAGTCGAGTAATTCACACAGGCGAGACACAACCGAGTCAGAGACAGAGATGAGGCAAGCAAGATGAGTAAGACGCGACAAGAAGTCGAGTAACTCACACAGGTGAGACACAACCAAGTCAGAGACAGAGATGAGGCAAGCAAGATGAATAAGACACGACAAGTAGAGATAGTCCAACAACGAAATCCTCAATCGGCATTACGCACAGCCCACAACCCCAAGAAACCACCAGGCGTACCGCTGACCCTTACGTCCACGACCGCGTGAGCGGTGGCGGGCGTACCGTAAGAGGATTATTAGGATCGCACCATCTACTACTTATAGTGGTTCCGCTATAGTGTCGGCCGAATAACTGAATGTACTTACGAACAAAACATGCTAGGTACCTAGACGGTTACGTTCAATCATACGGAACATGCAAAACCTGCGCAAATTGCGTCATTCGAGCTGGATGCGACACAACGCAAGGTCCAAGCAAGGGTCCCTCATTGCTGTCCGCGCGAGACCCCTACTACAACGAAAAAACGGCTCCATACATGCGAAAAATAGGAAAGACAAACAAACAAGTCCACATCCACGATCCTAGCACATGAACTAAAAACAAATTAAAACAACTACAGTACTACCAACGTACCACGGACCCTGTCCGATCATATCATGCATCCTGCATACCCGACGACAGACAAAATATCAGTACTGCCAATTGTGGTTCGGACCCTGTCCGATCATAAAGGCTTCCAGATGTCAGATGCCTAAGTAAACCCTACATACTGAAGTGCAATTCCCGTTTACCAGCCAGAGACAAAATCCACTGCTTGTTTCCATACGTCGTCTGTTCTGAATGCGAACTTCCTCAACACCCGTTCGAAGAACTTAGAGGGGAAATCCTTCAATCTCAGTTCCCGCTTCAGCGACAACACATGCTCAGGGATCTCTCTCCGAACAGAGGTATTACAGTCAATTCGGTGCAGATAGCTAGTAATAGCCGCACTCTTCTGCATTTTACTACTCCAAGAATGAAAAGATTGGCCGTTTTGAAACTCCAATTCCCCAGAATTCCAAGAACTCTCCTCGTTCTTAGACATTTGAACACAACTCAGAAAGGGGTAATTGTTAGATGACTTCACTCTGCATCCCAGAAACTCCAGTGCTCTAGAGTCATCATAAGTTTTCTTCAAGCATAGGTTCCGTGGGTAGCATTTGTCGAAACTTTCCAGCACTCGGCTCAGATGTTCGCCGGTTAGAGAAGCTACCGTCAGAATAACATCATCCATCAATCTCAAACCAGACAACAATCGTCCATACCACCCCAGACTATGCAAGAATTGCGCCTCTGCGTATGCACACTTAATGCATGCCACCGGAGGGCTGGTACTCTTACTCATGGGGATGCCCATGTCTTGTCTTATCAACACCGTAGTGGCAACGGTGTACGTATGTCGAATGTCGATCTCGACAAACTTCAAAAGGTCCTCGAAATTCAACTTGCGCCAATGGTCTGCTCCCGTAGTCAATCCAAACGATGCACCCCTCCCTCTGGTATTAACTCTAACAAAATGGCGGCCCTTCCTGCTATGGTAGTCCAATAGCCATTCAACAGCGCGGACGATATCCTTACGCGGCAACCGACAGAACATGTGCTTAATGTCAAAGGACCGCACCGTGACGTTAGTGTGATATCCTATCCGTTTAATCCTACCATTAATCCTCTCTAGTCTTGCCGTCAATTGGGAAACTGCTTGGAGGTTAAAATGGTTGTCGATAGGCATCCGGGCAAGCAAAAAATTGAGTCCTCAGGCTACGTTACGACCCGTACAAACCATGGTTTCGCAGAAAGTAGGGTAGATAGGGCGAAATCTGGTCAAATCTTTATGTTTAGGAATGACATAAGTCGATCCTAATTTGCCCTTATTATCCCAACGGACGAATTTCTGTAGCCCTGCCTCCTTCATGTCTTCCTTGACTTCGCGAAATAACACAGCCTCGGAGACCGTCATCACCGTATACCCAGAATTACGCACGAAAGCAGTCATCATGGCTTCGTAGTACGTACTAGGGCACATGACGACAATTTTGCCCTGATTACGATCCGGAGGAGCACACACTAATCCGTCGAGCTGTTCTTTCAAACTCATGACGTCTTGTACAGAGAGACGCGATTCATCATCCCTATTGACGTGAAAGCATCGTTCTAGTCGTTCCAAAGGAACACTAGGCAAGCGGCCCCGAAAAATTCTCCAATCTCTGAAACCTTGCTCAACTTCCATTCGAAGATGAAGCACACGGTCTGACTTATACGAACGAGGGATGTTATTAACATTAGCTAACAACGGTTGATCAGCCATATCCTTCCTCAAACGAAACAACACATGTCCATCCACGCGGGGATAGGGTAGGCCCGTACATTGACAGGTCAGCACACTTATGGATGCAAACATCCGATGGTTGTGCAGGAGTTCGCCGACAGTCTAGTTTTTCTTCCAGACTATCCGAACTTTCTTCCATGCCCGACGCATGAAGCAGGTAGGTAAATCATAGTTGACCAAGACATCATTGACTACCTTACGTAGCTCGCAAGTACTAATCCTATCGTCGAATACCACTTTGACCAACAGATCTGCGCTCAAACTTAGATCAAACTTATCAAGAAATACCCGAGAAATAAGTCGTCGCAAATATTTTCTGGTCGATTTCTTCGAGAAATCCTTAATAGCACCATATAGGCGCAATAAGGATTGCATATCCCGATTATAGATTCCATCGATATCACCAGGCTTTTTCAAGATAGAGACCAGGAAACGTTTGAGATAGCCATATTGAGGTTTCCAAGAAACAGCGTAATCAACCACAATAAGACCACTCGACTCAAACCATGCCTTGCAATCCTTCAAAAAACCGGTTTCCAACCCACATGACAGCTTTGTCCGACCAAACTTCCGAGCGATGGCTTTCCATTTGGTCTGCCATACATTTCCACCACTGCAATTAAGATTAAAATTCAGGACACCCTTAGACACCTCGTTATTTAGGATCGCATACAAGTCCAATCGCCATACATCACGATCACAAGTACGAAAACGAATAGGGGCAACGATGTGTTGTTTCTCTCGATCCTGACGGTGTCTCGTGATCCTTTCCTTCTTCCCGCCCGACTTAGCTCTCACCTTATGATGTTTCCCGGATCCTACAACAGTCGTGTTTAGGTAAAGCGACCATTGACGAATGTGAACGTTCTCGAGTTTAGCCAACTCATCGTTGCCAATCGTGTCCACAGGTATAAGAACGTAGCTATCGACACCGAAACTGCCTAACCACCTATAGAAATGATTAGGTGCATGCTTGCGACAGGCATACAAATGTTCACGCCAACGAATATCCAAGCGTCTCGACGACTTCCCTACGTATTGAGACTTGCAGTAAGGAGACACAGCAATGTATACACTCGATGATAGATTGACGAATTCGGTACCAAATCGGTCAAACAATAGAATCCAAGCTTTCACGCATTTGTTAGTCCAACGCAGAACATTACACAGCAACAGACTAACAATAGCTAGTCGAAATAGTTCCTCCACTCTACTGTCCACAACATCCAGTAAACCGCAAATCTTGGTAAGGCAGTTCACAATAGCCCACAAGCCGGCAATATTGTAGCCACATCAAGTGCTGGATACATCTTCCTGATCCTTGGTAGTGTCCTCGGCGCCACCTATATCCGAAGTTGCTTCGTCCTCGTCATCGGAGCCATAGGCTACGCGCGTGCGATGAGCGGCAATGTCGAAAATAGACTCAAATTTGCTGTAGTAAGCAATGCCCTCATCCTTACAAATATTTTGCAAAACCAGAGCGTCCAGATTCTTCAAGCCATTCATCACCTTCTTCTCAAAACGCAGCCTGCCGACGATACCGATAGCGGCTGGGGTCTTCTTACGGATAGACGGTGGAGTCTTCTTGGGTGTCGGCGTCTTCAAAGCGTTGCCGCGCGTTCGGGCCAGCCTCCCGCTCCGTCTTGGAGTTCGCTTCGGTGGAAGCTCCATAGGAGGGCTACCCTCGAGGGTCGGCTCGAGGCCTCTCTTTGTCTTGTCCGTGATGCACAAGTCGCGAGTTCGGAGGTTGATCTCATCCGTTTTACTGCTGCTAGCGCCGCTACCCGCTGTAGCCATGGTGGGCCCAGCTGCCTGCTTGCCACGCGCTACAGCCGTACAGAGTTCGCCAATAGCCACGTGAATCTCCTGCCATACGTCTTCACGGACTTCATCCCGGAGTTCTCCCGCTCTTAGCGCTAGCTTGATATCCAGACATTTGCGGATCTCCTCATTCCTTTCGGCCTCCTTCCGTGCTTTCTCCGCCTTCTTCTTTTTCTTAAGCTCCGCCTCCGCTAGTTCTGCCGCCACACGTTCCTCAGCTTGTTTCTTCTCAACTTTCCTTCTTTCTTTGGCTGCCTTCTTCTGCTTCTCGACCTCTACGTACTGACATACCGCAGCGACGCTCTTGCCTATCTCAGCCACCTTAGTCTCCAGCACACCTATGGGTGGTTCACTCGATTCTCCTCCATCATCCGTGGCACTCCTTCCTTTAGTTCCTCCGTGGCAGGGGACACTGGTTAGCATAGTGTCCGGGCTCCCTGCAATTGAAGCAGGTGGGCGGCCCGAGCCTTGGAGCTCGGTCGACATATCTGCCGCCAGAACGGTCACCACCAAACGTCCGATCGCTACCATAGCCGCGATCGCTGCCGTAGCCCCGCTGCCTGCTGCTAGGGTCCCGATCGCCGTCGTAATCCCGGCTGCTCCTGCCACGGTCATAGTTTCCTCCTCCATAGTCGCGACGCTCATTGTGTCCCGACATCTCACCATGCATATACGGAATCTCTTCGGTCAAATGCTCTGAATAGTGACGACAAATTAACATTTTCCGTCCACATAACTAAGCTGCTAAAGTAACAGTAACAATCGTGCTCACTTATCCCAGCGACGTGACTCCGGGATCGTTCACACGCGCAATGATAGTGTCAATATCAAAGTGCAGCAAGTCGAGTAATTCACACAGGCGAGACACAACCAAGTCAGAGACAGAGATGACGCAAGCAAGATGAGTAAGACACGACAAGAAGTCGAGTAACTCACACAGGCGAGACACAACCAAGTCAGAGACAGAGATGAGGCAAGCAAGATGAATAAGACCCGACAAGTAGAGATAGTCCAACAACGAAATCCTCAATCGGCATTACGCACAGTTCACAACCCCAAGAAACCACCAGGCATACCGCTGACCCTTACGTCCACGACCGCGTGAGCGGTGGCGGGCATACCGGAAGAGGATTATTAGCATCGCACAATCTACTACTTATAGTGGTTCCGCTATAGTGCCGGCCGAAGAACTGAATGTACTTACGAACAAAACATGCTAGGTACCTACACGGCTACGTTCAATCATACGGAACATGCAAAACCTGCGCAAATTGCGTCATTCGAGCCGGATGCGACAAAACGCAAGGTCCAAGCAAGGGTCCCTCATTGCTGTCCGCGCGAGACCCCTACTACACCGAAAAAACGGCTCCGTATATGCGAAAAACAGGAAAGACAAACAAACAAGTCCACATCCAGGATCCTAGCACACGAACTAAAAACAAATTAAAACAACTACAGTACTACCAACGTACCACGGACCCTGTCCGATCATATCATGCATCCTGCATACCCGACAACAGACAAAATATCAGTACTGCCAATTGTGGTTTCGGACCCTGAGTTCACCTGTATTTTTTTAGAAATGAATTTCTGTTTTTTGCAGGGGTATGAGGTGTTTGAAAAAAATGCAGATGCAAAATTTGAAAATAAATAAAGAAAAAACTTCAAAAAAGGGGTTTGATTGATTGATTGATTGATTGATTGATTGATTGAT